AAAGGCAGGGCAGACCCCCTCTGTGCTAGGCTTCATGGTGCTTACTCCCACAGCTCTCCAAGATGAGTTATATTTTTTCTTCCCCTCCTCCTCTTCCTGTTTTTCTTCCTCATCCTTCCCTGTTTTCCCCTTTCTTCTTCTTTTCTTTTTACCATGGAGAAACTGCAGTTCAGAGAGCATAGATAACCTTCACAGGCCCACACAGCTCATGACCGGCTGCTGGCACCAACACCTGTACTTCTCATTCACCATAGAAGCCAGCATGTTGAGTTAGTGTCCTCTTTGGCAGCAGAGGCTGAAGTCTCCAATGTGAGTTAACTCTACGTGAGAAACACCTTCCCACATGCTAGTTTGAGACAAATTAAGAGACAGATAGGCCAGTTCCATACCACGTTCATTTGTGGCCATGGCATGAACACAGACTTAAATGAAAGATGTGTATTTTCATCAGAGGATAATGAATCAGCAAAGTGTTTTCAGTTTGCTTCAGAGAACTAGTGCTGCATATCAATATTAATGTTCCTTTAGCACATTTTTATACAGATTATTCTTAAAGCAGTTATCTGAGGACTTGTATTCCAAACACAATTCAGAATCCCGCCTTCTCTCACCTAGAAACAAAAGTAGTTATCTCTTACTAATGCTCTTGAGAAGACATCCATATTTAACTTTTAGTCAATGAATGTGCATTATAAAATAATGAACCTACTAAAGGATTCTTTTACTCAAAGATCAGCCATTCAGCATATATTTTATGGAGCAAGTACTCTGTGTTCAACACTGAATTTCAGACAGTCAACCAAACTGCCATGAGTAAAAAGAAAGAAATATAGAATTGAATGATTTTTTAGCGGATTAGCTCTTGAAAAAACTAGTCATTAGAAGTGAGATTTTAAAAATCGTTTTCCTATATTTTAATTCAAAAACTTAGATCTCTATTTGCATTTTGTTTAAGAGCACTAGTATTGGAACTCATTTATTTATTTAATAAACATTTATAGACAATCTACTACTTAGTAAATACTGTATTAGGCATTGGGGTATGTTGCTTACCCAAACCAGGTATAGAACCCATCTTCACTGAATCTTACATTCTAGTAGGGCAGACAGATTAATGGAATGACTGTATTGAAAGACATCAACCTGCACCTGTGGCAGTGCTATGATGAAGCTTGCATAGGAGGCTCTTAAGAGCCTATTTATTCGAAAGATATTTAATATAATTGAGGAACTGAGATGAAATTGCTGGAGGAAGTGATATCTGATCTAAAACATAAGGGATGAACAGAAGGTGATGAGGCCTGGGGAGGGAGGAAAGAGCCTAGTATGGAAAGCAGCATGCATGGCCTGTCAAGGTGAACAGTAGAATCTCAAGCCTGGAATACTGGCTGTGGGAAGAGAGTGGGTGGCTGTGAGGGGAGCAAGTCTCAAGTTGAACCAAGAGAAGATGAGTCTTGCCTTTGTTATGAATGCAGCGGTGAGGCATGCACAGGTTTAAAGCAGGAAGAATGGATGATCAGGGAGTAGGCAGAACAGATACACATTGATCAGCCAGAAACCCACTAAAACGTCCTAGGATGGAGGTAATGATACTCAGACTTGTACATTGGCACAGAAAAGATGAAGAGGATACATTCATGATGTATTTCAGAGGTGAGCATTGACAGGACTTGGATATTGGGGGTATGAGACAGGAAGTATTAAGGACAGCTTGGACAACTAAATAGATAAGGGTGCTTTTCACTAAGATAAGGAACCTTGAAAAGGATCAGATTTGGGATTTGGAGACAGCAAGAGAAAGGATGAGAGTATTGAGTTATATCTTAATATGTACCATTTTGAGAGGACTTTGAGAAAGCCAAGAGAAAATGTCAAGTAGCAAGTATATTGGTCAAAACCGCAGAAGTGAAGTTTGAGCTGGAGATTAACATTTGCAGATAGTGTGCAGAGTGTTGTCAACTGAACTTCTGCATCTGGATGTGATTGCTTAGCTAAAGGGTGTTGCAGAAAGGCCTAGACCCAAGTCCTGAGAGACGGACACTCAAAGGGTACCCAGTGGAAAAGGTAGAGGAAGCAGAGGTCCCAGTATTGGACAATGCTGAGGGATCATGTGGGACTGAAACATCGTGTTGGATTGAATGACATTGAGGTCTTTGGGGACACTAGTGAAAGCTGTGATAGAGTCATGGGTCAAATTGGAGTGATTGAGGGTGGGTGGGTGGATGGGAGACATGAAAGTGGCTGAGAAGCTCAGGAGAGAGAGAGTGAGGACTGGAGGCAGATGGGATTTATGTGCTTGTGCGTGTGTGTGTGTGTGTGTGTGTGTGTGTTTTGTAAGTGAGGGCACTTGAAAGTGTTCCAGTGGCAGTGGGAAGGATCCTGGTAAGAAGGAGAGGCTGAACTTACCCAAGACAGAAGGGTTATTGAAGTCATAAGGTTTCTGAGACAGCTCAAGAGATGGGATTAACTATGGGTCGGAGGCTTCTGTAAACTTTGAATTATTAAGGTATTTCAGTTTAGTGGCTTCTGTTTTCTCTGTAAAGCATGAGGCAACATCTTCTGTGGGGAGGGCTTGAGGAGGATGGCAGTTGGGGAAACCTCTATGGGGACATTGAAGGAAGTGGAAGTTTGAAAGGGTTCACAGATGACTGGGTGGTAGTTCATGTCAATCTCACCACTTTGGAAGGCCAAGGCAGGAGGATCACTTGAAGCCAGGAGTTTGAGACCAGCCTGGGCAACTTAGTGAGACCTCCATCTGTACAAAAAAAAAAAAAAAAAAAAATTAGCCAGGCATGGTGGTACACACCTATAATTTCAACTACTCAGGAGGTCAAGGTGAGAAGATCACTTGAGCCTGGGAGGTTGAGGCTGCAGTGAGCCGTAGTCGTGCCACTAAACTCCAGCCTAGGCAACAGGGTGAGATCTCATGTCAAAAAAATAAAAGAAGAATGAAACAGCCCACAGAGCACATGGAAAAGCAGGTGAACCAAAGCAAGGCTGTGGGGTGGCTGCTGGTGCTGGACATCTCTGAGCTTGGTGAGCGGGAACCATTGGTGGACACGTTCTGCCCTCTTATGACCGCCTTTGCAAGCACAGGAAGAGCAGGTAGTGAGGTTCTTTCTGACTGCCATTTTTGCCAAATGATCCCAAAGGAAAAAGAGAGAAATAAGGAGATGTGGAGCATTAGCAAAACAAAACAAAACAAAAGTCAATTTCAGCCTAAGCTTAAGAAAAGCATAATGAAAAAAGAAGATTAATAGGTTGGAGAAATTGGGGCGGGGGACAATCCATTGAAGGCCCCGCACAGATGCTTACCTGTTAGAAGCTAGTTGGCGTAAAGCAGGTGGCAGGTGTGGCCTCAGAGTCACTCTGCTCCATGCTCCCCTGGGCAGTAAGGTGGATCCAGAGGCGGCTGGCTCCAAAGCGGCAGGTTCGGTGACAGGGATCTCCTGGTTCCACCACTGACAGCTGCATGTGCTGGGCAGTCCAGCCCCATCTCCAGACCTCAGTGTCCTCAGCTGAGAATTGGGGTCAACCATGCCGTCTTTTCAGGTTGGGAGGATTAAATAAGGTGATGGGGGTAAAACAGCACAGCACCTGACTCCTGTTGGGAATCTGTCAGAAGTGTCAGTCACTGCTGTTTCTTTGTTGTGACACATTTTCTAAACAGACTACAGGTTTTGCTGATGTTATTGTTGTTTTACTTTTTTTAAATTCTAGGAATCAAGGCAAAAAGCAACTCAAATTTTATAGAAATGATGTGATTTGTAAATATGTTATTATGTGACTCAATCTCCTCCCCTGTGACCCTACAACTTAGAGTAAAGAGCAGAAGGCCAGCAGTGGGAGTGGCGGGATGACCGTCTAGTGGATCCAACAATAGGGTGGTTTGGGGCTTGCCACCTTCAGGTGTCTCTCTTTATCAGCCTAGGACCAAAGTAGGTTCTTTTCATAAACCCTGAAATGGAAGTTTCAGGGACATCTTTTTACTCACATCTCTTTTGAGACAAGGAGTCCTTTGAGTGGCTTAAGTCACTCAAAGGACTCCTTGTCTCAAAAGAGATGTGAGTAAAAAGTTTATTCATTTAGGTTTATGTACTTGTCTGTCACCCAAGTCACAGAAAACAGAGACACTCAATAGAGTGTCAGACACACTCAACAGAGATGGGACTGAATCCTATCTATATTTGTATATACAGACCTAACGGCAGTTATTCAATAATTGTTTACAGTATGTAGTTGACTGTAATTAGTAAAGATTTGGTTCTGTAATGGATTTGTGCAGGATTTCTCAATCCCAATGCTACAGACATTTTGGGCCAAATAATTCTTCATTATTGGAGCAGGATATATAGCAGCATCCCTGGTTTCTACCCATTAGATGCCAGAAGCGACCTTACCCCAAGATGTGACAACCAAAAGTACCTCTGGACATTGCTGAGTGTCTCCAGGATGAAGGGGACAAAATTGCCTCTGGTTGAAAGACCACTGGTTTAGAGGAAACCTTTAATGTGATCTCATGGGCTGAAATTTTTAAAGTTTATTGTATTGATTTGCACAGGAAAAAACAATGAACTACAACTCATAAAACTTTGCAGGATATATTTCTGATAAGTAAGACTCCAAGTATTTTTAAATTTCTTTCTGTATCCTTCTGGCCTTTTGAAATTTCTCATGTTTCCAACTATATATGCATTACTTTTATAAGTTAAAAGGGAGATGCTAATGTTTAATAGTTGAAAATGATTTTTTGAAGATGCACAATTTTTTCTGATATCCTGACATTCCTAATAATCATAATACTTGAACTAATGAGCACTGTTATTTTTATTATTATAAGTTTTATTTTGTTATCTAATTTTTCAGAAACATTTATTTAGTATTTCAATTAGCAGTATCATAATCTACTATTAATTCTAGTTCTTGGTAGGGATACATACTCATTGGTTAGGCAGGCACTGGAATTTAATCTCAAAGACATTTCATCCTTTTTTCGAAAGGCAGAAGCTTATCCAGCAATCCAGCATAAAGTGACTTTGAGATGACCACATTTGTCAAGTGTCGCTATGAGAGGCTTAGGGCCCAGGAAACATGAAGGAAGAGGGTATGTGTGTATGTGTGTGCATAGTGCATTAATAAATTCACCAGCATACTTAATTTTTTTTATGTCTATTTTTTTTTCTTTTTTTTAATTGCATTTTAAGTTTTGGGGTACATGTGCAGAACGTGCAAGATAGTTGCATAGGTACACACATGGCAGTGTGTTCTGCTGCCTTCCTCCCTTCACCCACATTTGGCATTTCTCCCCAGGCTATCCCTCCCCAGCTCCCCCCCACAGCTGTCCCTCCCCTATTCCCCCCAATAGACCCCAGTGTGTAGTACTCCCTTCCCTGTGCCCATGTGTTCTCATTTTTCATCATCCACCTATGAGTGAGAATATGCGGTATTTCATCTTCTGTTCTTTTGTCAGTTTGCTGAGAATGATGTTCTCCAGATTCATCCATGTCCCTCCAAAGGACACGAACTCATCATTTTTGATTGCTGCATAATATTCCATGATGTATATGTGCCACATTTTCCCAGTCCAGTCTATCATTGATGGGAATTTGGGTTGGTTCCGGGTCTTCGCTATTGTAAACCGTGCTGCAATGAACATTTGTGTGCATGTGTCCTTATAGTAGAACGATTTATAGTCCTTTGGATATATACCCAGTAATGGGATTGCTGGGTCAAATGGAATTTCTATTTCTAAGGCCTTGAGGAATTGCCACACTGTCTTCCACAATGGTTGAACTAATTTACACTCCCACCAATGGTGTAAAAGTGTTCCTATTTCTCCACATTCTCTCCAGCATCTGTTGTCTCCAGATTGTTTAATGATCGCCATTCTAACTGGCGTGAGAATACTTAATTTTTAAAATATCAGTCCACTAAGGAATCTGCAAAACTCCAAATAAAAGAATTATTCAAAAGAAAGGATCTAGGACACTCTTTCTTTACCCTTTCATTTACTTTGACTTAAATTGGGGGAAACTCAAAAAGTGAAGTCTTTCTTTTAGCACAGACATTCAGAAAGGGAGCGGGGTGAACAGTCCTTAAACAATCTGTGGGAAGATAAAGAGCCAACCCTAGCATTAAAATGTGGGTGGAGCAGAGTATTTTTTTTTTAAAGCAAGGGGAACTTTTCTTATTTTTCCTTCAGTGTTTTAATCACAGGAAATCTTAGATACTATTAGTCAGCTCAGGCTGCCAAGACAGAATAGCATAGACTGGGTGGCTCTAACAACAGAAATTTACTTCTCACAGTTATGGAGGCTAGAAGTTCAGGATCACAGTTTTGGCCGGGTAGGTTTGATTCTGGGGCATCAACTCTTGACTTGTAGATGACTGCCAACTGTCTGTGTGCTCCTGTGACCTCTTCTTTGTTTCTGCATGCATAGATCTGGGGGAGGGAGGATTGGCAAAGAGTGGGGCGTGGAGAGAGAGAGAGAGAGTAGGTGCTCTGTGGTGTCTCTTCTTATAAGGGCAATAATGCTATCATGAGGGCCTCACCTTTATGACTCCATATAACCATAATTTCCTTCCCAAATCCCCATCTGCAAAATCCATAGGGGTTAAGATTTCATCATATGAATTTTGGGGGAACACAGACATTCAGTCCATAATACCTAATTAATGGTGACATGCAAAAATAGGTGATAAAATTGCTAATTATTTATGAGGCAGAGACCATCAAAAGTTCTCTCTTGAATAATATTTGCAGTTCAGTGGAACGTAAGCATTGTTGTTGTTGTTGTTGATTTTTTTCTGTTAGGTGCCTCCTCACATTGCTGCACTGTACTTCTTATCAGATATGTCACTCTCACCCATCAATGTTGCTGTCTTTTACTAGGATCACCAAGTCAGGTTAACAGTGAAAACATGATCAAGAAATTGATTTCTAGTATCCTCTAGAATATTTTTCTGGTGTCTCTGTTAAAAATTTGTCCAGGTAAGTTATTTCTATCTACATCAATATTGGTTAAATCTCATTGTGACATAAATATTCAATCAGTATCCCTGCCCTTCTTCTCCCTCTGTCATTAAACTAGAACATTACACAGATACTTCCCACTCCTTCTTTATCCATTTATCTTAACCTGTTCCAAAGTATTAATTCTCCTGTCTGTGCGTGCAAGTGTTATTTCAGAGTTATTTCAGCCCCTCATCCTCTCTCCAAGTTATCCTGTCAACTTCTTTCTTCCCAGTGCCAACTATTCCTCAGGAGCCTACTCTTCCTTTTATTTCCCTGTTCAGAGCAACTGGCACTTTAATACATTAGCTAAACATTTGTGCTCTCCTCACCTGGGAGATTACTAGAGAGTTGGGGGAGCAGGGGCAGATGGAGATGAGTAGCACACTGAGATTGCTGGAGAACTAAGTATTCCCTAATATTTATTATTAAGCCTCCCCTCTATGATTTCAAATGTCATTATGCAGAAGAATAGAGTAAAATTTTCTGAACCATAATCCTTTAAGCCTGTGTTAGCAGAGGCTACAGTTGTTGCAGTTGTGTTGGCTATAGTTACAGATTTGTGTGCTGCCAGTTATCTGTTTGCATACTACAAGCAAAATACTTCACCTGTTACAGATGTCAGCCTAATTTAACCTGAGATTTACAGAAACCAAATTTCTAGTCTTGCATTATACTTCCAAGGGAAGTGCCCTGCACAGATGTCTGTGTAGAATATGATGGCTGTATTTCAGTGAATTTCTCCACTGCAAGAATGAGATGCTTCTTGCAAGAAGATTCTGGAAGATACTGGAATAGGAAGCACTAGGAATCCTTCTCCAAACTACACTGGCAGAATTTGTTTGATGTAATTGTTTTGGAATTCTGGAGTCTTGGAGTCTATCAAAGCCTTGCAACTTCCAGAGAAAGGCTTGCTTGGACAATAAATAGTGGTTAACGTGGTAAACTGCAGTTCCTTTCAGTCATTCCACTTCTTATCTTAGCACAATAGTAGTTACCCATTTCACATTTCCACCCCTGTGGCAGGCAGGTATGCATGAGTTCCTGGAGCAGTTTACACACAGTTTGTGGGAGAAAGGGTAGGTAAAAAGTGTCTTGTCCTCCAAATATCTGGGATCTGTGCTCTGACTGCTGATTGCTGCTTCTGATCACAGAAGTGCAAAGAAGTGGTGAGTATTTATTGTTGCACCTTCCCTCATTGTTGCAAGCCCCACCCCTCCAGCTAAAGTGACTCTCAGAGAATAAAAAAAGGCCAGTGCACTTTTATTTTTGACCCCTTTCCCCTCATTTTTCTCTTTTCCTCTTTTGGGATCAGACATTAAAGACTAAAATATCCAAAAGCAACCATGTGTATGGAGAAGTTAGAAAATGGCTTTGTAAGCACAGGGAAAGGTGCAGGCAGGAAAGACCTAAGAAGACCTTCTGTTTATACTTCAGGGTAATCGTTGGCACAGATTGCCTACAACAGTCAAACAACAGCAATTTTAAATACAAAAATAGCAAACTCTGGGGAAGGATCTGATTTCCAGAGTCACCACATTATTAGATTTAAATGCTCAGTTTTCAACAAGAAATCACAAAGCTTACAAAAAACAGGAAAGTTTGGCTCATTCAAAGGAATAAAAATAAGTCAACAAGAAAATATGCCTGAAAAAGAACCTGATGAGATTTCTACCAGACAGTCTAAAGTAACCATCTTGGAGATGTTCAAAGTAAAGGAAGATGTAGAGAAATTCAAGAGAACAATATATTAATGAAATGGAAATATCAATAGAAAAATACAAAACCTAAAAAGAAACCACAAAGAAATTCTGAAGCTGAAAAGCACAATAGCTGACGTGAAAATTTTACTAGAGGGATTCAAAGGGAGATTTGAGGAGGAGAAGAGAGAACAGCAAACTTGAAGATAGGAGAGTAGCATTATTGAGTCTGAGGAAGAGAAAGAAAAACGTTGAAGAAAAGTAAACAGAGTCTAAGGAGCCTGTAGGACACCATCAAGAAATTCAGCTTATTTATTATGAGAATTTCGGAAGATGAAAGACAGAAAAGGGTATAGAGAATGTTTAAAGAAATAATGGCTGGGAATTTCCAAAATTAGTAAAATACATGAATATAAACATCCAAGAAGCTCAATGAACTCTAAGATAAACTAAGAGATCCGAACTGAAACACATCATAATTATACTTCCAAAAGTCAGAGAATATTGAAAGCAGCTCATCATATACAGGAATTCTTAAGCTTATCTTCAAATTTCTCATCAGAAATCTTGGTGACCAGAGATAATGGGCCAATATACAGTGCTAAGAAAAACAAAAATATTGTCAACCAAGAATTTTTTGTCTTTCAAAAGTGAGAAATTAAAACATTCCCTTATGAACAAAACTGAGGGAGTTCATAACCACAGAACCTGCCCTGGAAGAGATGTTCAAAGAAGTTCTGCACATTGAAATGAAAAGACACTAAAGAGTGATTCAAAGCCATGTGAAGAAATAAAGATCTCAATAAAGGTAAATACATTAGACAATTATAATAGCTAGTATTATAACAATGGTTTGTAACTTTGTATTTTTCATAATTTAAGAGACTATGACTTTAAAATAAGTATTAGTTTATGGTTTTGGGCATACAGTCTATAAAGATATAATTTTGTAACATCAACAACCAAAAGGGTAGGAGCAGAGTTTTTGTGTGCCATCAAACTTAAGCCAATATAAATTTAAATTAGAGTGCTGTAACGTTAGTAATCCCATGGCAACCACAAAGAAAACAGCTGTAGAATATACGCAAAAGAAAGTGGAAAAAGGTTTTTTATAACATTTCATTACAAAAAATCAACTAAACATTAATAAGAGTAGTATAGGAAGTAGGAAAACAAAACTATAAGTCATATAAAAAACTAATAGCAAGATGATATAAATCTCTAATTAATCATAAGTAATGATTTTAGATGTAAACAGAGTAAACTCTCCTGTCAAAAGACAGACATTGGCAGAATAGGTTTAAAATAAACAAACAAAAAATATGGGATCAAATTACATCCTTTTTTCAAAAGATTGACTTTAGATCCAAAGACACGAGAGATTAAAAATAAAAAGATGGAAAAGATATGCCATGCAAATAGTCACCAAAAGAGAGGAGAGGTAGCTATACTAATACTGAAAAAAAAAAATGGATCACAAAAGGTTACGATAGGCAAAGAAATTATATATTAATAAAATATTTAATAATGCAAAAGGATGTAACAATTATAAACGTTTATGCACCTAATAACAGATCATCAAAATTTATGAAGCAAAAACTGAAAGAATGGAATGGAGAAGTAGACAATTACACGATAATCAATAATGGATAGACCAACCATACATACATAAGGAAATAGAGGACTTAATGAGAACAAGGAACCAGCTATCTAACAGACATATATAGGACACTACCCAACAGCGGCATGTACAGTATTCTTAAGTGCACAAGAAACATTCTCCAGAACAGAACATGCATTAGGCCACAAATTAAGTCAAAATGAGGTATATACATACCATGGAATATTTTTCAGCCTAAAAAAGGAAGGCAATTTGGACATATGTTATAAAATGGATGAACTGTGAGGTGAGATAAGCCAGTAATAAAAAGACAAATACTCTGTGATTCCATTCATATGAGGTACTTAGAATAGTCAAAAGCACAGAGACAGAAAGTAGAATGGGGCTTGTCAGGGCTGGGAGAGGTGAGAATGGAGAGTTGTTTACTGGGTCAGAATTTGAGTTTAACACGTTGAAGAGTTCTAGAGATGGATGGCAGTGATGGCTGCATAACATTATGGATGTATATAATATCACTGAACTATACACTTTAAATGGTTAAGAAGATAAATATTGTGTGTATTTTACCATAATACAAAAATACGATAAAAACCAAGTCAACAGAACAGTACGAAGGACCCATGTGCTGATTACAAGCCCCCTCAATCACCAAGCCCCCACAATCACCAACTCCTGGTTAGTTCTGCCCCGTCTATACCCCTGCTTGTATTATGTTGATGCAGATTGTGTGTGTGTGTGTGTGTGTGTGTGTAACACGTTTCATGAAAATAAAGGTTCCATTCAGTGATATAAAACAACACATCACAATGCTTTTCTGCACATAACTTGTTAGTTAGTTTTTTAATTATTATATTTTATTTTAAGTTCCGGGATACATGTGCAGGGCCTGCAGGTTTGTTACATAGGTAAATGTGTGCCATGGTGGTTTGCTGCACCTATCATCTCAACACCTAGGTACTAAACCGTGTTGGTGCAGATTTTAACCTTACATCATTTTATTCATAAACAATTACATATGTAACTCTAAGAAAAGCATTATTTTTAGCATAACCACAAAATATCATTATCCAACCAATAAAATTAATAATAATTTCTAAACATTACCATCTAAACTTCCTGTTATCTAATAAATGGCATTTTTTCACTTTGAATTAGGATCCAAATATGATTCACACTATGATTACCTGACTATGCTATGTGTCTCTCAAGTCTCTTTTAATCTGTAGTTTCTCCTCCATTTATTTCTCTTTTGCACGATATCTGCTGAAGACACTGGAGTTTATTTTTTAGTTGCTTTTTAAAGTAGAAGAAGAATAAATAGATGAATTAATAGATGGTTTTAGCCCGACATCTCCCAGCCACTGTAACACTTTCCCTTTCCCTCTGCTGTGTTCCTTGCTGTGTATCATTGGGATTATATGTCACCCTGTTCCTTCCTCTAGGCAGGGGCCCTTAGGGCCAGCAGCTGTAGCTTACTCATTTCTAGATCCCCAGTAGCGGTGACTGCTAAACATTTTCCTGGTAAAATACAGTCAGACATTCCTGCACTAGTGGAACTCAGTGACCCAACACAGAAACTGAGTGGGTCTGGGAAGAAGGTTTGTTTGTGTGGGACTTGTGGGTAAGTGGTTTTCATCCAGCAAGGTGGGTTGTGGGAGAATCAGAGTGTGTTCCTGTGGCAAGAGGGAAGGATTTTGTGTGTGGAAATTAGAAAACGTTCCCAAGGTAGCTTGATCCCCACCCTCACAGAGTGCTGAATCACGTCAGTTCTCCACCCCTCACTCTATCTAGGTCCTCTCCTTGGTGACTTTTCGGTTCTTTTCTTGAAAATACCAGTTTAACTGGAGACTCAGGTGGAGGGGCTGGACACAGTGTCTCATGCCTGTAATCCTAGCACTTGGGGGCTGAGGTGGGCAGATCATGAGGTCAGGAGATCAAGACCATCCTGGCTAACACGGTGAAACCCTGTTTCTACTAAAAATACAAAAAATTAGCCAGGCATGATGGCACGCACCTGCAGCCTCAGCTACTTCAGAGGCTGAGGCAGGAGAATCGCTTGAACCCAGGTGGAGGCAGTTGCAGTGAGCTGAGGTCATGCCACTGCACTCCAGCCTGGCAACAGAGAGAGACTCCCTCTGAAAGAAAGAAACAGAGAGAGAGAGAGAAAGAAAGAGAGAGAGAAAGGAAAGTGGGGGGGGGGAGGGAAGGGAGGGGAGGAAAGGGGCAGGGGGTGGAGAACTTCCCTAGTGGGTACCATCCACGCAATGCAGGTGACCATTACTCTAAAAGCTCAGGCTTCATCACTGTGCAATGTATCTGTAACAAAACTGTACTTGTGCCTCCTAAATCTATGAAATTTAAAAAAGAAAAGAAACATGAATCTGATTTGCTTTGGCCACCAGATGTCTGTAGAAAGGCACACAGAGGTGTGAGATAACACTTTCCATTTTTCCATTTGCCCTTCCTCTCTTATTCCTCTGCCATCCCCCATGAAGACATGCTGGGGCTGACCTGTTGAAAAATGAGCCCTGTGAAGCCGAGTCAGCTGTCTTGGTCATCCCAGCCAAGGCCATGTCCCCTCTGCTCAGCCAACCACTATCCAACAGACATGTGAATGGGCCCTGCTGAAATCAGAACTGATCAGCCCACTTGAGTCTAATCATCCACCCACAGATGGGTGAACTAAGTAAATACTTCTTTTTAAAAAAAAATGAGATGCTGATGGTCCCTGAATTTCTCAAGAGGCAAAGAATGTTCCTGCCTAGCAACTTATAAATGTTCAGAAGCTAGATGGGCACGGAGAAGTAGCACCTTATGTATATTCTCTGCCTATCCGCAATAAGGTGAAAGAAGGCATTTATCTTCTCTGCAACCAGAAAACCTATAACCCAAATGCACAAGAACACGGTTCACCATTCTGCTGTGCTTATCAGCAGCAGATATATCAGCTCACAAAATCCCCTTTGAAATAGAAACTAAAATCATGCTCAATGATCACTCTACTCCCATGGGGGATGAGGAAGAGGAACAGAAATCAGGACAAGAGCTGGGTTTAGAACTTGGATCACATGTGGCTTTTCTCAATGATCACAAACCCCAGCCTGCTAATAAGTAATAATTGGATTTATTAAGTATTTTATGGTGCAGTCTAGCCAGAGAGCATCTATAAAATGGAAACATGGAACCAGCTTAGTAAAGGGAAAGATGAAATTGTAGAATTAATTAGTTTGTTAGTGCCTTGAGTATTTCATAACAATAAGCTTATTGCATTTATAAAGGAGAAAACTCTGGGTTTAATTTAGCTGCCTGGTTGTTTATAACCTGTTGTGCAATTTCAGTATGTTTCATCTTCGTATGCCTGTTTTAAAATATTTTACTTCATTATTGTAAGAAGTTTTTAAATGCAATGAAACTTCAAGCCAGAAAAAACTTAGAGAATTAATGAAATGGGGAGTAGAGAAAAATGGAGATAGCATTAAGCTAAATACAAAGAAAAAATGGAAACAAATTTTTTTATTTGACAGAATTCAAAGTGGTGGGGGAAGGTAGAAGCAAATGCATTGGACCTGCTTAGATAAGATCTTAGTTTACAGGCTTATCTGAAACTTTGGAATCGAAATGATCATTTTTCTTTTCTTCCTTTTCCGTGTCCTCTCTGCAATGCACTTCCAGTGGTACTAACTGATGTTAAAAATCAGGTTAGTCTGAGAAGGCTGGTCCCCTAAACAAAAAAGTAAAGAGTATTACCTTCCTCCCTTGAAGAGTCTCTTCATTGGCCGGGTGCAGTGGCTCGTACCTGTAATCCCATAACTTTGGAAGGTTGAGGCAGGTGGATCACCTGAGGTCGGGAGTTCAAGACCATCCTGACCAGCATGATGAAACTCCATCTCCACTAAAAATATAAAAAGTAGCTGGGCATGATGGCAGGCACCTGTACTCCCAGCTACTCGGGAAGCTAAGGCAGGAGAATCACTTGAACCCAAGAGGCAGAGATTGCAGTGGTCAGCCAAAATTGTGCCACTGCTCTCCAGCCTGGGCCACAGAGTGAGACCCCATTTCAAAAAAGTAAAATAAAATGAAATAAAATAAAATAGTGTCTTTATGAAAATAAACCTAATACTTCGCTTGTTTAGTAAAGTAATGCAAATTACCTAATGATAAAGTCAGAAGATGTATATACGTATATGTTCCTGCTATCTTTCCTTTCACAATCTAATTCTCCCAGACTAGGATTTTTGCTAGCTATTTGTTCTATCACCCAGAATTTTTGAGAAGGATGAAAATCTTATTATTGATTTTTGGTTAGGTAATACATGCACTTGGTGCAAAATTCAAAAGGTATAAAGGTATACAGTAAAAAATAAGTTCCCTCCCTGTACCTGAACCTGATCCTTAGCCTTCAGTTTCACCCCTTGGAATAATACTGTATCCTTTTCTTGTGTGTCTCTCCAAAAATATGTTCTGTTTATTTAAATGTATGTGTGTATGTGAATTTACACAAGTGATGGCATACCACATATATTGCTAAATAGTTTCCTCATGTCCTTTAGCAATAAAATCCAACCAGCAGTTCTCATCAGCACAGATGAATCTGTCCTGCTTTTTCTACCACATGGAGCTGCACACTGTAAGTGACTAGTCCCTGCCCATGGTCACCTGGGTGATTTTCAATGTTCGCTATAAAGGAGGCTTTAAAGTATCCTCTATAGGTGTCAGCTTGACTGGAAAATGAAAAGTGTCTTCTGTGCTTGTCACTCATGCTTGTGAGAAACTACTGTACGTGAATCTGTGAATCTATCCTATTCTAATCCTTTTCAGCATCTCCCCAGCTACCATTACTTGTTCATTTTCCAAATGAACTTTATTATCAGATTTTCTGGTACAACTTTTTTTCATTACAGTTGGTTCATTTTGAGATTGCAATAAATTTATGATTTAACTTTTAATTTTACCCCTTATGAACTTAAGCATAATAAGCTGCTCCCATACTCAGATGTTTCCTGTCCTGTAATTGCATTTAAAGTCTTCCTTCGTGTAGACCTTGCACCCTTCTTTTGAAGTTAATTCCTAAGCACTTTATCATTTGTATTGCTACAATAGATGGAAGTATTTCTTCCTTGATGTCCTCCACCTAAGATTGTTTGTATGGAAAGGCTGTATATTTCTGTCTATTAATTTTGGTCCTGCCACTGTAATCTCTTCTTATTTGTAATGGTTTTCATTTAATTATTTGGGTTTCCAAGGAAATAAACACGTTACCTACAAATAATTGTCATTTTACCTATTGAAAGTTGTTTTATTCCAATTTTCCCCTAACTGAAATACCTTAATGACTTTAGGACAGTATATTTAAGCATCCTCCCTGGCAGACAGGGTCAGGGTCCCCTGCGACGGCAGGTAACTGTGTCTCCTGTGTGTGACCAACAGGAACCCCGTACTGCCTTTACTGAACTCTACTTTTGCTTTTATTTTAGTTTTATTGGTTGTTCTTTTATTTGCTGATAAAAATTACAGTAATTCAATTCTCATATTTGTTTAGTATTAAAGAACAATGGGTGGGAGCTGGTCATGGCTTCAGTGACTTCAACTTTCACTTCTTAGGTTTCCTTACAAATTCTGTTTAACATTCAGAGGAAGCAAAATAAGTCACAGCAGTTTAAAATTACCCAGTTTAAAGGGCATGGAGTATTATTTTAATATTGAGTCTATTTTACTATAGTCTCATTATCAGAAAACTGGTAATCTTGTGGAGAACCAAATTAATTCTTTTTTTTTTTTTTTCTATGACTTAATTCAGTGGTTACTCCAGTATCACAATGCTGCTAAGTCTCGTTAGGATAAACGCTATTTATGAACTCCCATTCACAGTTGCTACAAAGAGAATAAAATATGTAGGAATACATTACAAGGGACGTGAAGGACCTCTTCAAGCAAAACTACAAACCACTGCTCAAGGAAATGAGAGAGGACACAAACAAATGGAAAAAAAAATTCCATGCTCATGGATAGGAAGAATTAATATTGTGAAAATGGCCATACAGCCCAAACTAATTTATAGACTCAACGCTACTCCCATAAAGCTGCTATTGACTTTCTTTGCAGAGTTAGAAAAAATACTTTAAATTTCATATGAAAAAAAAAAGAGACCAGTCCTAAGCAATAGGCAAGACAGTCTTAAGCAAAAGAACAAAGCTGGAAGCATCATGCTACCCAACTTCAAACTATACTACAAGATTATAGTAACCAAAACAGCATGGAACTGGTACTGGCACCAAAACAGATGTATAGACCAATGGAACAGAACAAAGACCTCAGAAATAAGACCGCACATCTACAACCATTTGATCTTTGACAAACCTGACAAAACAAGCAATGAGGAAAGGATTCTCTTTTTAATTAATGGTGCTGGGGAAACTGTCTAGTCACATGCAGAACACAGAAACAGGACCCCTTCATTACAGCTTATGCAAAATTAACTCTAGATGGATTAAAGACTTAAATGTAAAGCCCAAAACCATAAAAACCCTAGAAGAAAGCCTAGGAAATACCATTCAGGACATAGGCATGGGCAAAGACTTCATGACTAAAACACCAAAAGCAATTGCAGCAAAGGCCAAAATTGACAAATAGGATCTAATCAAACTAAAGATCTTCTGCACAGCAAAAGAAAATATCATCAGAGTGAATAGGCAACCTACAGAATGGGAGAAAAAATTTGCAACCTACTCATCTGACAAGGGTCTAATATCCAGAATCTACAAGGAACTTGAGCAAATTTACAAGAAAAAAAAACAACCCCATCAAAAAGGGGGCAAAGGATATGAACAGACACTTCTCAAAAGAAAACATTTATGTGGCCAACAAACATATGAAAAAAGCTTATCATTACTGGTCGTTAGAGAGATGTGAATCAAAACCACATTGAGATACCATCTCATGCCAGGTAGAATGGTGATCATTTAAAAATCAGAAAACAACAGATGCTGGAGAGGCTGTGGAGAAATCGGAATGCTTTGATGGGAGTGTAAATTAGTTCAACCATTGTGGAAGACAGTGTGGCAATTCCTCAAGGATCTAGAACCAGAAATACATTTGACCCAGCAATCCCATTACTGGGTATATACCCAAATAATTATAAATCATTTGACTGTAAAGACACATGCACATGTATGTTTATTGCAGCATTATTTACAATAGCAAAAACTTGGAGCCAACCCAAATGCCTATTAATGGTAGACTGGATAAAGAAAATGTGGCACATATTTACCATGGAATACTGCACAACCATAAAAAAGAATGAGTTCATGTCTTTTGTAGGGACATGGATGAAGCTGGAAGCTATCATTCTTAGCAAACTAACACAGGAACGAAAAAGCAAACACCGCATACTCTCACTCATAAGTGGGAGTTGAACAATCAGAACACGTGGACACAGGGAGGGGAACATCACACACTGGGGCCCATTAGGGGGTGGTGTCAAGGGAATTAGAGTATTAGGACAAATACCTAATGCATGTGGGGCTTAAAACCCAGATGACGGGTTGATGGGTACAGCAAACCACCATGGCACGTGTATACCTGTGTAACAAACCTGCGTGTTCTACACATGTATTCCAGAACTAAAAGTAAAAACAGACAAGCAAACAAACAGAACCCAAGCTGTTTTACTGATGAGCGGACATGCAAGTTAATTTAAGACTCCTGGTTGCAAGAATATTAATAATCTAGGTTTTATTGTTGTTAAATTTAACATAATGTGAGGAAAATTAATGCAATAAATTATAGATTTGATCTTAGGTGAGGAGCCAATTCATTATAGGACCTTTGGCAAACTATTTAACCTCTCAACTTTGATATTTTCAACTTATGAGTGTGACTATTAAACATTTAATAATAAAGTAAATGTTAATTAATATTCAACCCCTTATGTTTGTAATCATACTCTCAGTCACTATATTATGAGTCCTCACTAAACAGTCCATAGTGTTGATAATACTGCTCACTGTGGTTATTCTGATCCTCACGTGACATCTTAGTTGGGGAAACTGCGTAGGTGTTCATGACTTCTTCCTTAGCACTTTGGCAGATGAAAGGAGTGCCTGGGATTAAAACCCACAGCCACAGGTTTGTAATTAGCTGCTCTTGAGCTCACCGTAAGTTCATCAGACTGTCTCCTGCAGTTTATTGTCTACCACTTTCTCAGGAAGATGGTAAAGATTAACTCTTACCTCTTGCTAAAGTCATTGCAAATTGGAAATGTTGAATAATATAAATGCAAGTTGAGCTCCTGGAGATAAGACACTGCCATTGTAAAACACAGCGATTATATTGTAAAATATTTTAACTAAGGAAAATAGCCTCATTTGAAATAATGGTCAAAAGGGGCACCAACCTAAATTTTCTTTAAATTCAATATCCAAGACTTTTCTTCTCTTTTAATCTAGCACACCAGTATTTGTCTTTTGTTCTAACCATACTTTGTTATGATGTAATATATATATTAGATAAAATTTTGCTCCTGTTACCCAGGCTGGAGTGCAGTGGCACAATCTCAGCTCAGTGCAACCTCTGCCTCCTGGGTTCAAGCGATTCTCCTGACTCAGACTCCAAGTAGCTGGGATTACAGGCATGTACCACCATGACTGGCTAATTTCTGTAATTTTAGAAGAGACAGATTTCACCATGTTGGCCAGGCTGGTCTCAAACTCCTGACCTCAGGTGATCCACCCACCTCAGCCTCCCAAAGTGCTGGGATTACAGGCGTGAACTACCATGCCCAACCCTATTTTTATATTTCTAAGGCTAAAAGAATGTTCTTTGCAGAAAGAGTCAATGGGAGGAAAAGACACATGAGAGAAGTCAGTCATATGATGAATCTGCCAGTTTACTGAGTTCTTGTTCACCTGCAGCTGACTTAATTTAAGTGGTAATGTATGACCAACATTTTTTATCCTAACAGCCATGAGACAGATAGAAGCAAAATATTCACTAACATTCACTAACGGGTACTGGTCCATGACCTGTTAGGAACCAGGCTGCTCAGCGGGAGGTGAGCAGCAGGTGGGTGAGCATTACGCCTGAGCTCTGCCTCCTGTCAGATCAGCAGTGCCGTTAGATTCTCATAGGAGCGCTAACCCTATTGTGAACTGCACATGCAAGGGATCTAGATTGCACACTCCATATGGGACTCTAACTAATGCCTGATTATCTGAGGTGGAGCAGTTTATCCCAAAACCATCCCTGACCCAAGCCTCTGTCTGTGGAAAAATTGTCTTCCACCAATCTGGTCCCTGGGGCCAAAAAGACTGAGAACCGCTGTTTTACAATATAGAGCAGCATTACTGAAATTAATCAGCAATACGAAACTACACATAGTTAAGGTTTGGAAGAGTTAAACAAAGTGAATGTTTTTAGAAATGGAGAAAAACTGAAATATATCCACACACAATTGCATTAACCAGTCACTGGTAGCATGAAAAGGCATAAGCATGTCTGAAGGTTAGAATTCATTTTGAAAAGATGAGACGAAGCTTGATTTTCATTTGATGTGGTGAAGTCTGTAGGGTTTGGGGCCAGTGGATGCGCTGTCTGAATTTAGAGACCTCTCAAAGGAGAGGCAGAGGTGACTCTTTTAACCAAAAAGAGAGTGGCTTTAGATCTTTTTGTCACATTTACCTGGGTGATCAATGAATGCTTAGCTCTGTGTTCCTGTTCTGGAATGTTCTTTTACCAGGATTATGTCTTGTTTTGTTTTTACCAGATCCAGGAACCTTGTTTTCTCATGCTCTCTGCAAAATGGTAATTTTACTGAGGCATTTGGAGGCATCCTATCAGTATGATCTCCCTGAGGGAGAGAGGAGGTGCTTATGGGAAGTCACCAGTAAATGGGGAAAAGAAAAGAAGCCACTTGGAAGAGAGGGATATAAATTATTTTTAAACACCCTCTGTGATTATTTAGCTAAATACAGGAGGCGTAATGAACTTTATTTTCAAGTATGTGACCTTTTCACAACCATAAACTGCATACCAGAATGTGCAGTGGTTTTAATTAACCATCCTGTTGTGTGAAACCAAAAACCAGACTGAATATGAGGGTTTTTTAAATACCCATTGATTTGAGTACTTAGAAAAAAGAATCATTGTAAGCAACATTCTGCAACTGAATTTATCCCTGTCTTTTTACTTTTAACTATAATTAGAGAAAAAATATAAATTACACTATTTGATTTCATTTCTTAGTTTAGAAAAATAAGTATGATTAGCACGAATTAATTAGCAGAGGCACTATTTATGTAACAGTGTCTTTCAGATAGTGCACCTTGAGGGGGAAAAGTAGGCAGTTTGCATGTTCTGTGGGCTTTAGTAACTATGATTTAGCAAATCAATATCCGGGAATGTATAAGGAAATAAAAAGGACAGATTCATCTTGCTGTATTTGCAGCCTTGAAAAGCCATTTATGTAAATATAAATGTTGTATTTGTACTGTAGTACAAAGCTGTAAAAAATGGGCTCCTCAGTCACTGTTTTTGAGTGACAGTAAGACGAGGAAAACCAGGAAATCACCACGTGTGTTGTGATTATTAACGCCATACAAAATATGCCTGGATACGCCCTCATTTTAAGAAATTCCAATAGATGACCATCCAAACTTCAATATGCATAAGTGAGAATAGTTGTGAACATGACAAAAGAATGCTGTCAAAGAAGTAATAAGGCCTCTGCGGTGGCTCATACCTGTAATCCCAGCACTTTGGGAGGCCAAAACGGGCAGATCACCTGAGGTCAGGAGTTTGAGACCAACCTGGCCAACACAGTGAAACCCCTGTCTCTACTGAAAATAAAAAAATTAGCGAGGCTTGGTGGTGGGCGCCTGTAATCCCAGCTACTCGGGAGGTTGAGGCAGGAGAATCGCTTGAACCTGAGAAGTGGAGGGCAGTGAGCCAAGATCACACCATTGTACTTCAGCCTGGGCAACAAGAGCAAAACTCCGTCTCAAGAAAAAAAAAAGGATTAAGAAGTAACTTAAAGCAAGGTAGTGAAAATTATCAGTTTTATATAAATGATAAATAGAGAGTTCATTTGAAAATCTATGTTACATAGGGACAAAAAATAGGACCTTATTAAGAAGATGTGGATTTATAGACAACTTTTCAAGGGCACATCTACTGTGTGAAGTGGGAGTACCTTTATTTTTAATCTTGGTAGGACTTTTTCCAGTGTGGGAAAAACAATCAAAGAAGTCACACAGTCAGGTTTTTAAAAGGAGACTAACAGACTAGTAAAAATTACGTAAAATGCCTCTTCCAGGCAACTTCAATTGTTTACCACCCCCTCCCCTTCTTTTTTAGTGTTTCCCACAGTGTCCTGCATGGTGCTTATCAAAAAGGATACTTAATAAATGCTTGTGGCAGGTTGAATTATTTGATCCTGATTTATTTATTTTTATTTACATTTCATAGAAAGCCAAATTACTCCACAGAAAATTTGCCATGTATGTCTGCATTTTCCACTGGAATCTTCTTCATTGTGTTAAAAAGAAAGAAAAGCTGGCTCACTATCTGTAGATTTTTACTTTTCCATTTGAGTTTTAAGGACTATTAAATAAGTAGGACTTTCTTTTATCTTTCCATATGTCATGAATCAGTACACTCAGATGCAAAGATCATTTTCCACTTTTCTTATCTTTTCCAGTTTTATTGTCATCTCCAAAGCTAACGAGAGCCTCTGCTCCGTCTATTCTCTGCTACAGAAGTCAGTATGTCTAACCACATAAATGATTTCTTTTAAACTCTTAGCATAGCCACACCTTTACTGGGAAGGAGCAGGAACCAACCCCCAGGGAGCGACCTCACTGTATTGAGCTCTGCCCTCCTGCCAGGCTCACTGTTCATCCTGGGGCCTTGCATCTATAATCTCATTTATCCTCACAGCATCCCACAGGCCCTTGTGTTACCAGTGAGTAACCAGAGGCCTAATGGGATTAAGAAATTGACGCAAGGTCAGGAGGCTAGAAAGTGAGGGTGGGAAGAGTCCAACCCATACCTCCAGTATGACAAGGAGGCAGCGATCTTAACCACTGCCTGAGGACTAGAGCAGCACCTCTGCCTTTGTACAGAAAGCACAAGTACCTACATAGTGATACTTCTTGATATATAAAAGTAAAAAAGAAAACATTTTGAAATGTATAAACTCTGGATTTCACTCCTGCCTCACTTGTGGCTGGGTGACCCTAAACCAAATCACTTAACCTTTGTGCCTTAATTTTTGCAAATCAACAACAAATTAAAATATCCACCTTACAGAGATGTTATTGGGATTTGATGTGATAATCCTTATAAAAGCAAGCAAGTAGCACTATGCTTGGCACACAGGTGGATGACGAAGCTGTAAAGACTGATTTTTAAAGGCCTTTTGAGCAGTGCTAAATTAGAGCATCAACTATAATCTGCTGGCATTGAGAAATCACTGAATGTGTATAAACTTGTCCTGAAGGTACATGATCAGATTTGTGTTGTTGAAAAAATGAATTTAAAAGCATTGTGGAGGCTGTAATGAGTGGGAGCAAAATCAGAAATAAGGTACATGGTCAGAGGCTTCCCTGAGGTCCAGGCAAAAGGAGACGCAGGTTTGAGCAGAGCGGTGGTCATAGACACAGAGGCACAGCCCCATGGATATGGCAGAAGGGGAGTTAAAGACAATGAGCTGCTGCTTGAAGATAAGGAAATGAAGCGGTTACACATGACCTCGTAACAGCAGCTGGGCAGATGGTGAATATGGTGATGCTATTAGCCACAAAGAAGAAATACTTGAGGAGAAATAGATTGTACGGTGAAGATCATGAGTTTAACTTGAGAAAGGCTGAATTTTAGATTGCCCACCAAAAACCATGGAGAAGAATGTTTATGAGAAATTGGCCCATGGTACAGAAGTTACATCTGAGATGTAGACCAGCATTTGGGATTAATACAGAGAATGGCGGAGGATGCCTGGTAGTACATGACTATCAGCAGCATCACCATCGTACCGGCGCTCCCAGCAGTGCTCAGCACATCTTTATGGCAGGAGGGTGAGGAGGTAGAAGGGCAGGACTACAGAGGGTGTCCAATGCCTGAAGAGAAAGAGCCTAGGAGAGGAGGGAGGCAGGGGAGGCAGGAAGAGCTGGCCAGGAGGCTGAGAAACCACCTCCCAGGAGAACCGGGACTAGAGGTGCGCCTTGCTATGGCTTCTATTCTCAACTTACCTCTGTTTGTCTATGTTGAAAAAGATTTAACAGAAACCCTAAAGATCAGTGTCTTCCCTTTTGTTCACACCTCTCGAATAGTCTGAATGCTGCTATTTAGTCACTTCCTTGCAGGGAGGGCCGCAAAAGGCAGTTGTCGCACTGGAGAGCAGTGCCTGTTGCAGGTTACAAAGGGGACAGGGCGGCACGCCACGGTGCTTCCAACAGACTGTGTCTGGAAATAAGTGACTCACAGTCTTAACTCTTTGTCTCCTTCGGTCTATTTTCCCATTGTCCTTTTCTGAATTTCTTCACCAAGCTTTATTCAACCCTTCAGATATACTCACTGGCAGTGTCTCCCACAGCTACATGGAAATACACCGAAAAAAGGGAAAAAAAAATGTTTTACCATGCTCTGCATTTCAATGAGGACTCTTGGGTTCAAGATGTGCCTTAGACCCTGCAGAACTCCTTCCCAGTCTCAGCCTACAGCAGGTGGGCTCCACTGTCCTCGTGGGCTGACCCTACTGTTAAGGTCCCCACTGACCACCTCATTGCAAAACCCGTGGACTGTGTCCAGGGCTTCACTTACTTGACCATAGAAAACTGTTGGGCCCCATAAGACCATTCCCACCTTCTTGAAATCTACTCTGGCTTTGCAGACATCATCCTAGACTCAGTTTTCTCCCGTCTGGCCTCTCCTTATTTCTCAGGTTCCTTTGCTGCCTCCTCTTTCTCTATCTGACTTCAAATATTCCATGGAGCTCTCTTCTCTCCCAGACTCTGAGTGATCTCACTCAGTCTTATGGCTAACGGCTTCCAAAGTTCTGTCTCCAGCTTCTATCCCCACCTTGACCTTCCTCTGCTTAGTGAACACATCCACCCCAGATATTTGAAACTAGTCCAAACCAAATTTATTATCCTGTCTTCCAAGCCTAGATTAGAAAATGGCTCCACCATCTAACCAATTGCCCAAGCCAGAAACCTGGGAGCGTCCTTGACTCCTCTCCTTCACAAATCACCTATATCCAATTAGAGACCAAACCTATTGATTTTGCCTCTGAAGTCTCCTCTCCCTCTCTGCTTTTGCAGCCTAGTGCAGACCACGAGACTCTGTCACACTTTGACTACAGGACTGTGTCCCCTTATCTGCTCTTCCTGCCGCTCTGCTTACTTCCCTCCATCTTACTCTCCTTGTTGCAGTTAAAGCGATCTTTCAAATCTAATCATGGCACTGAATGCTGAAATCCCTGCAGCAGCCTGTCCGGCAGCATCAGAATAACCAACTTTCCAGGACCTTCGTGACCTGGTCCTTGCTCACCTCTCCAGTGCCATCTGTCTCTTCTGCCGGCCCTCTTAACCTCTTGCCTTTCCACATGCTGTTTACTCTTTCCAGAACCTGCTTTCCCCCTTCTCACCTCTTCCCTCTTTAGTCTGAATCATTCCTAGCTTTCCTCCCTTTCTCCTCACAATAGGAAAGGGAGCTTTGCTGGTTAATCTTAGAAATCCTATAATCCTATACTTCTCCCATCATAGCATTTGTTAGACTCTGTTTTAACTGTTTATTTAACTGTCTCTCCTATAGATTGTGAGTTCCATGAGGGCAGAGACCATGTGTGTCTTGTTCCTCCCTATATCTTCAGTGCCTAACTTAGTGTCTGGCACACAGTAGGTATTCAAGACACTTCTCTTGAATGAAAAATGTAGCTTGGCAACACAGAGATGGACAAGAAGACATGCCTCCTATCCAAGGACATGAACTTTTAAGAAAAAAAACAGTAATAATTATCACATCACAAGTAGAAAAATACATGATCCAAATTTGCACAGAAAAGGGAGTGGCTGACTTTGTCTGAAAGACGTGAGTTGATCTTTAAAAGTGTGAGGAGTCAATATGACATTCATCTTTGGACTTAGCTCTGCTACTAATTAGCGTTTCATCTTGGGTGAATCAACCTGACTTCTCTGAATTTTAATTTCATTCTCTACTAAAGTGGCGATAATACCTCACTTTACAAAACCATAGGGAGGATTAAATAGACTAATTTAAATGACATATACAAAGCCTGGCACCTCGTAGATGCTCCATAGATAGTAGCTGTTTTATCATTTGATTGAATTTCATTTACACAATGCTTCTTGAACTAAGGCACCTGAAGACGAACGAGGCAAAAAGAATAAGTTCCTTGAATGTGACTAAAATTACAACTTCAGCTGGGTCAACATGAGGGAGTTTCTAAACTACAGACTAATATATAATTTATTGTTTGCCTCCATTAAACTGTAATGAACTATTGAGAACCAAGGGGAGAGTCCTTACCAAAAAAATCTTCTTTTACCACAACCTAGGGAATTATTTGCACTGTTGCCTTCGTGCTTGGAGTAACTTACTAGCTCTGGGTCATCTTTATTCATCCGGATATTGACTCTACGTAATATCACATAATAAGCTTTCACCTCATCAGCCTAGTATTCTAAGGGAGGTATACTTTAAAGATATAAAATCTGGCTGTCTGTGCAACAGCAAAAATGTGTTTGAAGGCGCTGGCAATGAATATAATTCTGATCAAAAGCTCTAGGTAATATCCATGCATCTCACTTTATTTCCTTGGGGAAACACTCATGCACTATAAGCCTATTCTTTATGATGTCGATGATTAATAAGAGATAACATCATGACATTTTTATCAACCACTTTCACATCACTTTCAGGATGCCAACAAGTTGATTTCAGTTAGTTTGGGGTCCCTGAGATAATGTTAAGTCATTAATTAACTTGCGTAGCCTGAGGCGTCTTTGCTGGAATCTTGCTGCTGTCTCTTACTGAGCTATTCAGAATCTTTGATTGCTTCCAGAACTTAATTCTTTCAGAGCACAGACATGTCAGTGGTTTGACATTTCCTAAAAATTATCTAGTTATCTAAGAAGTAATGCTACTGTTTAGATATTCAGAAGTCATTTGCTTACGAGAAGAACCAATTCCAACTGGCCCTCAGAATTCAGAGTAGAGCGGAAATGGTAGGGTAGAGCAGAAATAGTAGGGCTTTCCCTGTTTTCGAACATTTAAAGAATCGCATTGCATGCTCACAACATGTGGAACATATCTGACTTCTGGATAGAGTTCATTCCACTAAAGTCTTCAGTACACAGTCAGTGGTAATGGCCATTCTAGAATCTACCAGGCTTTCCATGAGTAGGAGAAAAGGTTTGGTCCTTCTGAAGAGAAGTCCTTCACTTCAGAACTTCTCATGATTCCAGCCTGTGCAGTGGGGCTGAGCCCTGCAGAATCACCAGTGCAGCCTTTGCTTACGTGCACATGCTCAAGCCTCATGTAACAGACCGACTCTGGAAACGGAGCCAAATATAGGTATATTTTTCACTTCCAGGGGCGATTTAGACAAACAGGTATGGTTGGCAATCACTGTCCTTTGCGTGGGCAGCCTTGGTTTGACTTTCCAGCTTTCTCTCCAGCGGCACTCAGGACTCTGCCCCCTTGGTCACTTGCACATCCCCATCTTCCTGGTGTCACCTGTACTGTGAGCCTCCTCTTCCTCTCTACTGAAATCCAGAGCATTTCTTAAAATGGTGGCTCTTATACCTTACTGTGCATAAGAAAAACCCTGGAACAGCTGAAAAAGTTGTGTTTCCAGCTTTCCCTGCCCTAGAGGTTCCAATTCATTGGGGCCGGGATAGGGTCCGGACAGGACATGGTTTGTAAGCTCTTCGGTCAACTCCGAGGCAATCGTGGCTCCGCTCTGAAAACAACTGCTTTATGCCTTTCTCAGTACAACTTTCCCAAATCCAGCTCTCAGAATTAATTGCTTTCATGCTCTGGTTTCTTGTCAGAACAAAGAAATCTTTGACCTTTAGGAAAAGTCCCATGGAAAGGGACAGTTGTGAGTTTGTAACCAAACTTTTTAAGGCCTTGCTTAGGTAGGGCTAAATTAAAAGTGAAAAAAAAAAAATTTATTTTAAACTAAGTGCTCTTTTCCTCTGGTCAGAGCACTTCTCTCGTCCCACTGGTGTGCACTCTCTGCATGATATTATGGGCTGTGACCCAGGGGTCTGTCTCCGTAGTTAACAGGCAGTCCTCAAGGGCAGGAACCATGCTATCCTCGTTTTTGTGTTCCTGATCTTAATTCAGTGTCTGGCACAATTCAGAAAATTATGTCAAATAGACAGTAGTGTTTTATGACATAAAATGTATTTATAATTTAAAATTACAGTGTAAAATCTAGAAAAAGTAAATATTCCACAGCTGCTGCTCTGTGACTCACTGTCAGTGTCAAGAGGAGACTGTTTTCTTCTCGATTTGGGGCAGCTGCAATACCAACTCCTTTCATGCTGTCACTGCTCGAGAAGTGTCTCCAATCAGCAGCAGGCCCAGACTGTCCACTCTCATTTCAACTGCATTTAAATCTATTTTGCATGTTTCTTTCAGAATCAGCTTTTGAAATCTTTTTCCAAGAAGAAAACAATGCAGTCTTCTACTGGCGATACTGAATGCTTGTGGTCATTTTCTTTTTGCTTTCTGCCAGGTTTCTGTCTGTCATGGGCAGAACCAGCATCCTGTGAAGAGTGTTGTGTTCACCTGATGCCCACAGACTCCAGGGAGACAGTGGGCTTTACACATGAGCTCACAGGGGCCATTACCACCCGCTCTGCTCTGGGCCTCAGCTCTGCCCTGGGGTGTGGGGTGTCAGGAGGCCGTGGTACCCCTGGCCTGGCTTCTTCTTCATGCCCCTTCCTCCACAGGCTCCCTCTCCACAGGGGCCTTTCTCTGCCTGCTGCATCCCTGCCCTCTGCCCACTGTTGACTGTTCACTCTTGAGGTCTCCATTTAGCTATTATCCTCACCAGGAAAACTTCCCGATCCTCCTAAAACCGAGTCAGGGCCTCCCATGTTCTATTTGTTTATCATACGTATTGTAGACTTAGCAAATCATGTTATCAATAAAATTGCCTGTTTGCCAGGCATGTGGAGTGGGATAATGGACTTTGGAGACTCAGAGGGGGAGTGGGAATAAGGGATAAGGGATATTGGGCATAATGTACACTACTCATTGTGTCTCTTTGCACAGAGACTGAGCTATGTGCCCTCATAGGCCACAAAGGTGTCTGCAGTTTCATTCCTATGAAGAATATTTGAGTTAAAAGATGCCGAACTAGTCCCTGTGAAACAATCAAAGGATAAAAAGGCATGCCCCTTCCCCACAGATTGCTTTCAAAGAAATTAGCGCCATAATCACACAGGCAAGATTACACAAATCGGAGCCAAACAGTACCTAAGGAGTGACCATTGTGATGGGTGCCCTGCTATTTGCAGCATGAAGTTCGAAATTCCAGCCATCTCTCAATGCCCACCTCTATCTGACCCCTTCCAAAGACTCCACCCGTGCCCCTACTGCTCCCCTAGAAAAGTCCTTCTTTCTAAACACATGGTATGTTCCTTGCCCTCCAGATAAACCATGCTAATCCCACTTCCACACCTTTCAAGCAGTGAGGCCCCACCTGGAATATTCCCCTTGCTTTGTCTCCTGACATGCCCTGTCCTGTAGGGGGTAGGGGGGGTGGGCCTGCCCTGACCACCCAGCCAAGAGTTCGTCTTCTTCAGCAGTTACAGGACACTCAGTAGAGACTACACCAAGTTGTGATGAATTTTTATGTAAGTGCTTTCTCCCCTCAAGGACCACAGTTTACGTCTTTTAAAATTCCCAGTGCTCAGTGCAGAGAGTACTAGCTCAACAAATATTTGGAGATGGTAGTCGCTTCTGGTTGGAGAAGTCAATGAAGATTCCTAAAGGATGCAGCATAAAGGAAGTGTCATTCTAGATCCCCCAATGGCTCCTGGGACCTAGAACTACAAGTTTCACGTTTTTGGCATTGTGGTGAGAAGAGCCTCTGGGTTTAGGTCTTATCTCTGGATGGCCTCTGAGTGCTGACCATGGCTGGCCATCCACCCGCCCCTTCTTCTTGGACTCCTTAACTCAGTTTGATTACTGGGAGCCCTCTCATTTCTCCAGACATAATGTCTTCTCTACACAGTCCCTCTGGGGGATATCATCTAATCCATGGCCTCAGTTAGCAGTGTTTGTGCAGAATACTTTGAAATCTTCTTGGGTCTTCAGCCCTCATCTCTCTCCTGAGCTCCTAACTCACAAATTCAGCCTCTTGCTAAATACTCCATTTGTATGACCCTCATCATCTTTCCTTCCCGCAAACTTCCCCTTCCTCCCTGATCTCTGGGTCAGTAAAGGCATCCCTTCATATTCACCCACTTCAGTCCACTCCTACTGTAACTGCCTGAATCTAAGCCACCAGGATTTCTCACTTGATTGCTATAAGGGCCAGTCCTCCCACTCATCCTGTTTCCACCTATGCCCTGTCTAACTAATCCTTTCTTCACAGTGCACGCCAAAGTGACATTTTTGAAAGTCATATATAATCAAATTATATTTCCGCTTGAGGCTCACCAAAGTTTCCCCAATATTCTTGGAGTAAGGTCAAGTTTTCCTAACAAAACCCTTCGTAGTCTATTCCCTTCTAGCCTCCTCTTCCCCTGCTCACCATCTCCTCTGCTCCCCACCCCACTCTGAGCCCCAGCCATGTGGACCCTCTGTGCTGTTGCCTTAGTCCTCCAGGCACCTCTCACCTCTGGCCTTGGATCACGTACACACCTGCCCCTTGCTTTGCCATCCCCTGCTAATCAAGATTTGGATTCCAGCGCAGACTTTACTTACCCTGTAGCCTTCTCTAACCTCATGATCTGGATGGGTCACCCTTTTCTCCTCTGCCTGAGCAGCCTCTATTTCTCCTCCCCAGGATCTTACCATTCTATATCGTAGTTGCTTGCGTAATTGTGTGCTCAGTAACAATTGGCCTACAGGATGGATGATTAGATGATCTGTTTACTGAAAGGGCAGCTTCTCTGAAAATCAGCTTCTTCAAAGAAGAAGGCCTACATTCTAGAGAATTCATCAATGGTACATGAGATTTTCAGAGATGATAGAGAAACACAACAAAGCATTTTGCTTTAAGGATACATAATGTTTGTGTAACCATTATCTTTATATGGCACCTTTCAAACTCAGTTTTGTCCCAATAGCCCCATATGAAGCAGAAGCAGCAGAAAATATTGACTTTCATTTACCAAAGAGAAAATCGAGGCCCAAAGTAATGAAGTATTTGGCTAAAGGTCATATTGGGCTTTTGGCCTTCAACTGGAAGAAAAGTCTTCTCATTGCCAGCCACAAGCCTCCACAGACCACTTCCCAGGCTGCCAGCTCTCAATCTGGCTATAAGGAAATGGAGAGACTTTCCTCTCTACCAGGAGAGAAGGAGAAGGCAACAAGAGAAGGAGAAAAATAGTTGAGAACGCATGTCACGAGAAAAGAACAAATATCAGATCATTCCGTTTTTTCACTCAGTCATTCAGCAAATACTTCTGGTTGCCTAATACGTGCCAGAGCTGAGGATCATCGTAGACAAAATCAGAAGCTATGTCTGCCTCGTGTGTACAGTAGGAAAGGCAGACTAATCCAAAACATGGCAAATCAGGCAAAATTCGAAATGCGAGAAGACCTCTGAAAGGCAGGCATATGCAGCACTTCAAGAGCAGACAGCAGGGACATTGGACCAGTCAGGGAGGGCCGAGGACACACTTAGGAACTGTAGGTGTTCACTGGGCAAGGGTGGGGCTGGGGCTGCCCAGGGTATGGGCAGAGTGAGAAGATGGGGAGAGACCATGAGCAGAAATCTGTGAATGTCTTGGAAGTTGAAGGATCAGAAGAAGAGCACAGCAACTCATCATCATGGAAAAGTGAAGGAAGTATTTAACTGAAAGTTTTTTACACATTGCATTCTGAGTCAGCCCAAGAGTGTTTCCAGCCAATTGTAGCTGACAAGTGAGGGGAAGAACAAGGCAATGCAGGAAGCTAGAAGGAGAGAGAGCTGGCACGGAGATGAAGCGGGTAAGTCTTCCCTTCGCTATGATGTTCTGATTTTAAAAAGCTGTCTCCCATTGCCAGCAGCTGGGGTTTGCCTGCCAGTGCCTGTCTCTAGGTCCTCATTGCAAGTCAGTCCAAACCAGGACATTCCTCCTGGCATCAGAATTGGACCTACAGGGACCCTGCAGGCAGTGACTGGAAGGCTTGCTAATTTGATTCCCCTTAAAAGAACGAGCATGTGTTTGAGGGAGCCACTTGGACACACTGCTCCATTAGGTCAGGAAAAGAAAGCCCAGACCTGAGGAACTATGCAGTGATGGGGACTTCTGGCTGCCCCCTTGGAGCAGAAAAATGGGAGAAGAGGAAAGAAGAGAGGAGAGGTGCCAGGAGCAAATTAGAGATGGAACAAGAGAGACAAGCTTGCACAGAGGGTAAAGACACAGCATGTTTAGTACACAGACCCACAAGAAACTGCATGTGATCCCATGGATTCTTACAAAGAATTTTTATTTGTTTCTGAGAGACAGTGTCTTGCTCTGTCGCCTGGGCTGAAGTGCAATGGTACAATCATAGCTCACTGTAGCCTCAAACTCCTGGGCTCAGTCGGCTAATTTAAAAAAAATGAATCTGTAGAAACAAGGTCTTGCTATGTTGCCCAAGCTGGTATTGAACTCCCATCCTCAAGCAGTCCTCCCACCCTGTTTTCCCAAAGTGCTGGGATTATAGGCATGAACCACTGTGCCCAGCCTCTTACAGAGAATTTAATACAGAAAATTCCAGGGCACGCCATCACCACTAATCATTAGAGAAAAATGGTGAATCCTGTTGATTTCTGACAAAACTGACGTAAAATCTGATGCATGTATATGCTTTTAAAATTATTTTCTACACCAGAGGTTTGAAACCTGCAATTCTTCTTTATCATCTTTTTGTCAGCTTGCTTGTTTCCTGAGAGATTTGTCTCCTCCTTGATATTTACTTCATCAGTAGGCAAATGTGACTTCACATTTCTCAGTGCATTTGCTTTGGCCCTTCCTGACAGCGCTTAGGATACCCCTTCCTCCATTCTTCATCTTGATGGTTTTGTGGTCTTCACTCCGCATTTTCTGCTTTTCCTCTAATCCGCGTCCAGTGTCTAGATGTTAGCTGTGCCAGGCTTTATACCGCAGGTACCCGAGCTGACTCTTGAAACGTTCCTTCTCCCATCTTCCATCACCCAGCAGCCTGCAGATTTGAGGAGTTATTTCAAATTTTATTTTTAAGGAAAACTTGAATTTAATGTGCTTCAAGCCAAAGTTTCTGTCCAGAAGCAAAGTTTAGTACTAATGGGAATTGGAAAAACAGCCCAGGTCATTGTTTCCACGAACAGTGATGACTTTTCCTTTACTTAAAAATATCCCTTTAACAATTATACTTCAGCCAAAATTCCTGTCACTTATTTGTGTTATTATAAGAAACCATGGACATAGGGGAAATAGGCCTCTGTCCTCCATGCCTCACAGGTCAGTCGTATGCCTAAAAGCCACCGTGTTTCCTTTGGGCTGGTCTGATTGTTAATGAATACTTACTTGTTGAGGATGGAGGAGTGGAGAGGCACCAAAGGGTATGATATGTCTGTCACTGGCGTCACAAGGGTAAATAAATGCTGCCAGTACCTTGGGGTGGAGAGTGGTTCATTTTGAGTAGATTGAGAGAAAAGTAAAAAGCCTTGGTTTCCAGGAAATATTAGAATGGGTAAATAAAAATTCAGATGGGCTCAGTCAGAATAGTACCTGATGAACACCACACACTGAGCTTGTCACCTGTCCCCTCCCCTAATTTTCCCTTGAAGTCCATAGAACTGTCTTTGTCAGAGATCTGTATACAGAAACTTTGACCTCACCAGCAAATACTACAATTATTTCGAAGTCATGGGAGGATCTACCTTTATCTCTTGATCCTTTTTTTATTGTTTACCTTTCTGAATATGCTACCTTGACTGACAGACTAAATAAGGACTTGTCACATGCCACTTTAGCTTGCCTTCTTGTGTATTTTCAGCCAACATTAAAAACACATATAGTAGTAATTAAGTCTTCTTTAGAAATCATTTCTTGCTGGTGATGTGCTTTTTAGTTCCCTTGATGAGACCTGCAAGTTGATAAATTATTCTGTTGGCAGCAATAACAACAACAGAGTCTGCATAATTATAAACCCTTCCCATGCTGGCACTTAGCAAAGTCATTATCCAGGTTGACTTCCTCACTTTGGAATAAGGAGACCAACATTAGCAGATTATCAGAAATATTCTTGCATTCTGTCTTTTGGAAGGTGTCACCAAGTCACTTGACATGTGAAAGGTGATTCTAAAGTCGTGGGCATATTAAAGAAATGGTCTTGTTGATGTCTAGCCCTGCCTCATACTGGTTTTTCATTGAATTTGCTGCTGTAGTGAGGGCTGGTTGTGTATAAACTTAAAAGGAAGATCCTACGTTTTATTTCGTGAGGAAAGACTTTCTATTTATTTTACTTCCATTTTGCTTTTGTGTTTTTTTAAATTAGACTTCTTCAAGGAAAAGATGTTATATTATGTAAATAAAAGGAGACAGATGGGTTAAAGCGGGTTGGTGGGGAGGATATTTCCATTTTCACTTGGCTTTGGAAATCTAGGCCAACACTGATAAAAACTGAAGAAACACAGATTGAAACCAGATCTGTCACGCAGGAGAAATGCTGCAGTCTTAATAACCCACATGCAAGTGACGCTGACGACAGTGATCATTCATGCAGGAGGTGGGGAGGTTGCTTTCCAGTCGTACTTGTTGAGGCTTCATTTTTTTTAATAAGTTGAGTCATCACTGATCAAAATGAATCACAAACAATTTTTCATGTGAAATTTGCAGGACATTTTGAAGGCACAGCACAGATCCTCTCTGAGCCGCCTGACCCTTCACATTCATCCTGGATTTCTTATTAGGTTAGCAACATGTTATAATCTAAACTCCAACTTGGTGAAATTTTTATTAGCACTTCTTATTTCATGTTCTGGCTTTTAAATTTTAATGCCTATCTTATCAAGTAAGAGAGAACAGAGGCTTTTTAATCAGAAATGTATTACTTTCAGCTTACCATCTTAAAAAAAAAACACTTTGCACCTTGTTGAATAGCTAGTCATAGCTAGAATTTAAAAGTGTCGTGGAAAGCATGACAAAGATAGAGAAGGCAAACATCAGTTTTAAAGAGCCAAAAAAAAGACTGGTGATGGAGGGTTAAAGTACGTTAGTCTAGGTAAGGAATGACTAAGGAACTAACTGAAATATGATTCTTAAATCCACAGCTGACTCATAAGAGATAATAGGATACTTTGTTTTTAGTCTCAGTTAAGGCTAAATAGAATAGAACTAAATTAAATTGACTTAAATATCAAAGATGGAAGTTGTAGGCCGGGCGCGGTGGCTCACGCCCATAATCACAGCACTTTGGGAGTCATAGGCGGGTGGATCACGAAGTCAAGAGATCGAGACCATCCTGGTCAACAAGGTGAAATCCTGTCTCTACTAAAAATACAAAAATTAGCTGGGCATGGTGGCGCACGCCTGTAGTCCCAGCTACTCGGGAGGCTGAGGTAGGAGAATTGCTTGAACCCAAGAGGCGGAGGTTGCAGTGAGCCGAGATCGTGCCATTGCACTCCAGCCTGGGTAACAGCAGTGAAACTCCATCTCAAAAAAAAAAAAAAAAGATGGAAGTTGTGCTAAGAATTCTCGCACACATTTACAGGAAGCATTCTGTGTCCTCACCCACAACCACAGCCTCAACCAACTTCTGATTGAAAACATTCAAGATATGTAAATAAATAAAAGTAATAATACAACAATAACAATAAAATAAGTAAAAAACAATACAGTATAATAACTATTTGCATTGCATTAGGTATTATTAGTAATCTGGAGATGATTACAGGTATACAAGAGGATGTGCATAGGTTATGTGCAGATATACACCACTTTATATAAGGGACTTGAGCATCAGTCAATGGATTTTGGTAGCCAAAGGGATTCTGGAACCAACTCCCTCATGAATACCGAGAGACGGTGGTACTGAAATTGGCCCTTCAGGACCTTGACTCCTCCATGGACTTTGGAAACACAAGCATTATGTTTCAAGTTAGAAAATCTTGAGTTCCTGGAGGAAAGAGGCAAATTCAAGGCTCCTGGGCAGCCTCCTGGGCAGCCTCCTGGGCCCTGACCCTCAGGTCTTCACCCAGTCCATCCTTTACTACCTGGGGACCAGCTCCTCCAGGCACATGGTGCTACTACCACCTACCTGTACTGACAGCCTAAGGCCCCAGCTTTTTGACTCACTCTCTGACCTTCACGTTTAGGTTGCCGTAGACCTCTTGTCCTGCCTGCTGAACTCCCTTTTTGTAACTAAGAACCTTTGTCTGCCAGATGCTCACCTTGCTTGCCACCCCCAGCCAAAGCCATTTTATTTCTGAGATCTGAACCCACCTCGTAACTCACCCTCCCAAGGTCTCTGTGGTTCCTCGCACACCTCAGTGCCACTTGTGCCAAACGAGAATCACCAGTATTTATAGCTGGACAATAAGTAATTCCCATCCCACTGAGAGTGTCACACCCTGAATGGGTTCCTAAAGGAGGTCTGTTGAAATAGGAGGGGCTCTCCATTTGTCTGAAATGGTTTATGTCAGTCTGTCAGACAACACACAGACTGTTGCCTTGTTCCTGGACTTAACAAACATCAGGTTTTATAAAGGCATTGGCAAAAGAAAAGGGCCACATTGTAATAAACAATACCCAGTTTAGGAATTTACACAAAATGCAAAACCGTGGTACTCTGGACCGAATGTTTATCTTTTCCCAAATTCATGTGTTGAAGCCCTCATCCCCAGTGAGGGTAGTAGGAGGTGGTGCCTTCGGCAGGTATTTAGGTTCAGATGTGGTCCTGAGGGTGAAGCCCCCAGACATGATTATGCCCTTG